ACACTTACAGAATAGCACAGTCTACTGACCTCATACTCTGAAACCAAAATAAAGCTTGGTTTTAAATGGTGGGCTGACTATATACTAGACCAGTGACCCTCAGAAACAATATTACTACCCAACTCATTGGGTTATGAAGATTAAATAAAATCATGCTTTTAAACTACTCAATATAGTACACAGACACTTGATTAACTAGAATTAATGATGTAGTATATTACTATAATTCATGTCGTAAAATCAAGAAAAAACATTTAAGCAATTCATATTCATAAAAAGAAAAACTTGCCTATTATAAAGAGGATTCACCTTAAGTTCAGGTTTAAAAATATTTCCTCATAGATGTGATAGAGAGTAAACTGGAATTGTTCAGATTAAATTTTTTATTAAAGTACTAATATGCTGGAGAACATTGATATCCTGTTCATGTAGTTTGACAATATAACCTTTGTTGAAAAGATGAGGATTATGTGGAAGACAAAATGTTGTCGAAGTGAGCTGTTACTGCCATTCTAGGTGCCCAGGTAGGTAGGAATAGAACTCTTTCACCAGTGACTGAAATTAGATGGAAGTTTATTTTTATCTCACTTAGGAGAAGTGTGGAGACAGCTTGTCCAATGTTGGTATGGACACCCCAGAGTTATCATGGGCCCATTGTCCTTCCAGCTCTCTGGTCCACCATCCCCATGGTGCAAGCCTTGTATCCATTGTCCATTCTAAACAATAGGATTGTAAAAGGAAAAGAGGAAGGCACTTCCCTCCTTTTTAGGGAAGTTTCATATTTCATAAGTTTCCTCCTAGGTTTTATTGGCATGGTCCTCTTAGCTGCAAGGAAGCCTGTGAAATATAATTTTTACTCTGAGATAATAATTTGGTTCTCCTACTAAGAAAAAAGAGGGTACTGGAGAGAGGAAGGAAGCTAAATTTCCTAGCTATACTACATTCATTCTTCTTCTCTAAAATATTCTTTAATCTCTTTCCCTTCCTGGTTCCTCTTTCTCTTGTTTCTCAATGGCCATTCTACTTTTTTCTATAGAGTCTGTCCTTCCAATTTTTCATCCACTCCAAAGACTTCAATTGCTGAGTTTATGTGAGGAGAAGAAGGCAGGTGGCCCAATCTAATCCCCTTGTAAACCTGTTGATCACTGATCTGGAATAGACTAATGAAATTATATGAAGAGTTCTTATTGGTGAAATCCTCTTAGCAGAATATCCCTCTTTCAGGATTACTGATGTTAAAAAAACTAGAATCTGTGGATTTATGACTCATGACCTCTAAAAAATGTCACAAAATCCCTGTGATGATCTGTGTAAAAAAACACAAGTGGCTAAGGAACTTATATGCATGCATACTAGAGACCCAATGCACGAAATTCGTACAAGTGTAGGCCTTCCTTCCCCCAGCTGCTGGCACCCAGGACCAGGGCTTCCTCCCTCCAACTTCTGGCAGGCACCTGGGACCGGGGCTTCCTTCCTCCAGCCACCGGCAGGCACCTGGGACCTGGGCTGGCTTCCCTCTGGCCACCTGCAGGCACCCGGGACCCGGACTTCCCTCTGGCCCCGGCTTTGTCCAGAAGGATGTCCAGAATGACGTCCAGAAGGACGTCTGGTCTAATTAGCATATTACCCTTTTATTATTATAGGTATGCATAGCCCATGGACACAGACAATAGTGTGATGAAGGCCTGGGGGGCAAGGCAAGTGAGGGGTAGAGGGGATCAATGGGGGGGGGAAGGGTGACATCTGTAATACTTTCAACAATTAAGATAAATTTAAAAAGAAAACACAGCCTTAGCTGGTTTGGCTCCGTGGATGGAGCATCGGTCTGCAGACTGAAAGCTCCCAGGTTCAATTCCCTGCAGGGAACATGCCCAGCTTGTGAGCTCGATCCCCAGTAGGGGGATGCAGGAGTCAGCCAATTGATGTTTCCATCTCATATCAATGTTTCTCTCCCTCTCACTTTCTGTCTAAAAAACCAATTTAAAATCTTTAAAAAGAATGTTTCTCTTCCCATGTGGAGTATTTGCCCTCTTACTTTTCTACACCCCACTTGTCCAGTTCAAGTCTCATCTCATCCAAAAGCCTCCTCAACCTTTCATGTCTTCACTGACAACAGCAGGAGGTAGCCTTCTGATGCCTCTAAACTCTGAACACAGAAGCCTGCCATCCATTCTGGACATTCAGCCAAAAATGGCTTCTTTCTCTCTCTCTCTTCTGCTTTCCTAGGGCAGGGCAAGTGTTCTCATGAACAAGGTGTGGTATCTTCCTTTTATAGTCATAAAGACCCCCAACGAGGCAAGGTAAAGAGCAGTGACAAATATTTTTTAGTTCTTCCCTGAAAACTCCTGTTCTCTAAGTCTGTGCTGTGAGTTCCCAGGAGTAAGATGAGCTAAACTTGGCTTGCAAAGGAACCTGGAATGTTTCTGCTAAACTCCTTAAGGGTCTCAAGAGAGGGCTAGACTGCAGTTGAATAGTCATCTCAAGGATTCTTGGAACGGATCCTTCCTTTCCCAAGATTGATACTCTTTGCACCCATAAATGCTGTGGTAGAAGAACCCTGGATTGAGCTTCGACAGACTGGAGGTGGTGGGGGGTGGGGGTGTCTTAATCCTGGCTCACACAGGGTCCTAATCCTGGCTCACACAGTGACCACATGTGTGACCCTGAACATCTCTTTCCCATTCTGGGCTTCAGTTTCATCAACCATAAAATGAATAACTTAAATTTTGTATTCTCACTTACACTTGAGGAAAGAGAGTTGGATCATTCTTTGTGGACACATTCCAAAATTTATTATAGTTTTCAAGGAACAGAGCTCATATTTATAATTTCCTGGCCATCTCACAAGGTTTTTAGTATTCTTTCCCAAAATGAGCATGGAACTTGTTTCATGCTGAGGGCTTGCTGTGGGGACCATCACATTGCCATGCTTTAGTGCCTTGACTTAAGAAATTATTTTTAACTGTGTACTCATTAGGCAAAATTTCTAAAAGCTTTGTTGTAAATCTGCCTTTCTCTTTTACTTTAGTTAAGGAAATGGTTTGACTTCACAAAATCACAACTTTATCCTTCTACATATGGCAATGTGCATATCTCTCTGCGTAATGAAAATATGTAGGGAACAGAAAAGAAACACAAAAGCAAAAATGTCAACTTGTTGGGCTTGCCACCAGTTTTTGGAGAAGCCATCATCTGGGCAGGCTACTGCTCGGTTCAGTGAATCAACCACTAACCTGAACAAGGCTTGGTGTTGTAGGTTCATCTCCTGGTTCACTTTGCAAACCTTAAGCTTGTTCAAAGGATTAACCTTAGCTTATATAACAGGCATAAACAGGTCCTCAGATTTCCAGTCCTGGCACTCAGATGCTAAAAAGTGTTAATGGTTTTACCAACTGAAGACTTCTAGGAAGACATATAAATCAATTAAATTTCTTTAGGATGAAGAGAAGTTCGTAGGCAATATGAACATGAGTTAACACTGTTGTCATAATTCATCTGATCATGGAATCAGCATTTATTTGGTGTTTGCTCAAAGAACCATCACACCATCACTAGGAAAAGCATGGGGGGTGGAAATTACAGACACACTATGTTGATAGGCAATATGAACATGAGTTAACACTGTTGTCACAATTCATCTGATCATGGAATCAGCACTTATTTGGTGTTCGCTCAAAGAACCATCACACCATCACTAGGAAAGCATGGGGGGTGGAAATTACAGACACACTATGTTGAATGATTATATACTTGGGATTTTTTATTTACTCGATAACTACACAACAATTTCACTCACTGTAAAATCACAATCAGATACAATATCTAGAAATATTACAGGTAAATGAGGTTTTTTTTAAAGGTACATTTTAAGCTGAAAAGCCAAAAGAGGTTTGGTTGTCACATCTAAAAAGTTCCTATTTAATACAGCCAACTGCTGTTTAGCATTCTTTTTTTTTTTTTTTTTTTTTTTTTTTGTTTAGCATTCTTAATGGAAAGGTGAACATATTGACAGCAAATGATATCATTTTATTACTTTTAGTGTAAAAACTAACTTTCCTGATTTAATAATGCAATATGTGATTTCATAAAAAGTAAGGATTGCCTTCCAAGGCATATTGGCTTTAGGCTAGCATTTTAATTAGTTTCTTTTTTCTCCGAGAGTATTCTGATTAAATGGTAGCGTAAATATGCTGGATGATGAATGGAAAAATAATAGCTTCTTAGAATGTATCTTCCAGAGAAATAAAATGACTATAAATAATAAACTTTGCTACAAAAAATTAAGAGTTGACTATTTTGGAGGGGGAGATGCACAACACAGGTTTCACTTAAATAGCATTATAAATGTGTTGCTCTAGAATTATTTAAGAAGAAAAGGACAAGTCCATTCTATAGCTATACACCCTCATGAAAATAAAAAACAGACTGAGAAACAAATACCACATTGCCCAGATTCATGCTGGCTGGGGAACAGGCATAGGAAGATGGTCAGCACTTCCATGATCATAAAGATGCTTTTATTCTAAAACCCTGAGCTTGTCTTCTGACTGGAAACCGATCTACCATGTCCTTTTATACTTCCGCCACCAGCTTTCACTGCCTTATTGTACCAACTTATTAAGAACATGATGCATACAGCACTGCTGAGAGGTGTAAGGGAAGAATTTATACAAAGGAGAGCGAAAGGGGAAGGTGGTGAGGTTTCTAGATACATAAGTCGAGCTTACAAGTTTTCCCATGTCCAGGCACATTACACACAGTTATTAGTCTCGCTTTTGATTAGTTGTGTGGTTGAAAGAGTTTTTCCACATATTATCTCATTGGCTATTCACAACCACCTCCTCAGTAGCTACCTTCATCCCCTGCAAGAAGCTTTACCCAGAGTCACAGAGGCGACAAAGCCAAGGCTGGATCAGCTCTTTTGGTTCAAAAACTCCACATTCTGCCGAAACCTGTTTTGCTCAGTGGATAGAGCGTCGGCCGGCTTTACCCAGGGTCACAGAGGCGACAAAGCCAAGGCTGGATCAGATCTTTTGGTTCAAAAACTCCATATTCCAATATTCAAAACACCGAACTAAGGAGGTGATTGGAAAGTGGGACAAGCGCTCAGGGAGCCCGTAGAATCACTGAAGCTCATTGTTAGCTGACCCTCCCCCCACCACCATTTGTATGTCCCTTTCTTTCCTAGGTACCCAGGGCCCTACCACTGAGCTTCATCACCTGCCACTGGATTGCATTAAAAAAACTCCACATTCCAATATTCAAAACACCGAACTAAGGAGGTGATTGGAAAGTGGGACAAGCGCTCAGGGAGCCCGTAGAATCACTGAAGCTCATTGTTAGCTGACCCTCCCCCCACCACCATTTGTATGTCCCTTTCTTTCCTAGGTACCCAGGGCCCTACCACTGAGCTTCATCACCTGCCACTGGATTGCATGACTTCATGTGCACTGAGCAATGGAAATGTGATGGGTTATGCCTCCAGAAAGTGCCTCCATTTTAAAAAGAGCATCAAGTTTTAATCCAAAGGAATAATGCCGATGATGGGATTCAGGCACCAGGACAAAGACATCTTGCCCTTAAATCGTACCAGTAAGGGTGAAAGCTGGTGTGAATGAAAAAAATGGCTGACAGCCACATTCATGAGGTGTGTGTCTCCTTTCAAACAGTCTATGCGTCACAAGCATGGAGACATGAGAAGGACGTAAGGAGAAGTCTAACTGGTCCAAATCAGAATAACTGAGAGGTGGAAGCAGTATCACCCTAAGACCAAGAGACCCTGAACCCCTTCTCTGAGCCCCCCACACTTTCAGGGGTCCTCTGCCTGGACCCCTCCCATTGAGGGAGAGAAGGCCATGGATCCAAGGGGACATACCCATGCTGAGCCTAGCTGTTCCCCTCTTGACTTGCTCCAGATACCCAGACCTCATGATTCCCTGTCCCCATAGTCTCCGGGGTCTCTGCAGCCTCTTCCCAGGATCCATCCTTATAATCATGAGCTTCACTACATATGGGCCCTGAGCCTGAGGCGCCGCCATGGGGCAACATGGGGCAAGAGGATCTGGATAGAACTTGCCATGTATACTGCGGTCCCGTGGGCATGCATGTAAGGCTCCTCACAGTGAGCGCGGGGACCAGGAGTGAGAAGAGAAGGGCTGAGGAAAGAACTGGGAGGCTGTCTGTATTCTTACTCCAACCGCACAAACATCAGGAGTGAAGTCAAGCCTAAAAATAGTTGTAGAAATGGGTTACATCAGTGTCTGATGAGTCGCCGAGATTGTCCAGAGAGACCCTCACCCCCACAAACGCATGTACCACAGTCCAGCTGCCTACTCAGGTCCCCTCTGCAGCCGCCTTACTCCAGGCTGTCCATGCTCAAATGTTTTCTTGGTTTAATCCCTACTTCTTTGGGGCCATTCAGTGGCATCAACATATACGGGTTTCACCAATGCCTCCTCTTTGCACAAATGAGACGTTCAGTGAACGTCAGCCACTGGTGATGGTGTCTCATCACACGAGTGTTAGAAAATCTGAGCCCCTGGGACACCATGCTCACATAGTCGTCCATGTACTCGGCCCTCTGTGGCAGACCAAGAGTTCTTGGGGTTGACGGTGTGCATCGAAGTACACGGGTCAGTGTCCCAAAGGCCCGTTTACACGTTTAAAGGCCCTCGGGTTACTTCAGCCTGATGCAGTCCACCTCTTCGGTGGCAGGCACCCCCGTGGTTTTGAGATCGAGGTCTGCGCTGGACTTGCTGCCGTTGGAGGACGACTTCCAGTGCAGCTGCACGATCCTCTTGAGGTACTTGACGGTGTTGTTCTTGACCGTCACGAAGCACAGGGTGTTGATCATGCTGTTGCTCATGGCGATGCACTCGACGATGTAGAAGGCCGTGAGGTAGTGCTTCTCCTTCACGAACACGGCGGGGAAGAAGTCGCGCACCACGGTGAAGCCGTAGAAGGGGGCCCAGCACAGCACGTAGGCGGTGAGGATGCCCATGAGCACCAGCACCGTCTTCCGGCGGCAGCGCAGCCGCTTCCGGATCTGCTCCGTCTGGAAACCGGGGACAGCCTTGAACCAGAGTTCCCGCGAGATGCGGGCGTAGCACAGCGTCATGACGGCCACGGGGCCCACGAACTCCAGGCCGAGGATGAAGAGGAAGTAGGACTTGTAGTAGAGCTGCTGGTCCACCGGCCAGATCTGGCCGCAGAAGATCTTCTTCTGGTTCTTGACGATGATGAGAACCGTTTCCGTGGTGAAGTAGGCGGAGGGGATGGCGATGAGGACGGACACCGCCCACACCAGGGCGATCCAGCCCGTGGCCGTCTGATACTTCATCCGGGGCCGCAGCGGGTGGACGATGACCAGGTATCTAGGACAAGAACGCAAACGGGTCAGCCGCTGAGCCAAGAAAGTGCCCGATGACGAGATCTTTGCCACCGAATGGGGTGTGTGGAGGGAAAACGCAATGGTATAGGTATAGGGGCTTTCCAGAAAGGCAGGCTTGAATTCGGACCCCTGTTCCACCCCTTACCAGCTGTTGCAACCGCAAGCAAGTTTTGTTTCGTCTCTCTGAATCGCAGTTTCCTTATCTGCAAATTTTTTTGTTTGTTTTTAAGGATGAAATATGCTAATGTATACACAATTCCTGGCATATACTCAATAAATGGTAACTATTACTATTAAATGTAGTAATAATGCCTCCCATCCTGGCATGATTCCCAGGTCCTTCCTGTCTACAGGATCATTCATTCTAATTAACCCAGAGTTTAGAGCTAAAAGGGCCTGATAGATCCAAAGACTTATTGGGAGAACTTGCTCCTTCCAGTGGAAGCAGTGGGCAAAGTTGTGTCTTCATTCCACATTTTTGAAAACACTGCTCTTCATGCAAAGGGGGAGGAATACATGTGATCATTTATTTTACTTTCCAGGTGGAAAAATAGAGGCCAGAGAGAGATGAGTGGCTTTCTCAAAGTCATATACCATAGGACCCTTGGTAGAAAACATTTAACCCTATCTGACATGATGGATGAGAAAATCAATTGAGAATATACATGAATGTATCTTTTTTAACCACAAAGCACCAGATAGAAAAATATATTGCTTTTGTTCTCTCCCCCCGCCACCCCCCCACCCCCGAAAAAAAAAAAACACAAAAAACCACACTGTTGTTACCACAGAGGTCCAGGAGCAAAGACAGAGCACTTTCTGGGGGTTGTGAGTCATTTGTGCTGCATGAAAGCCTCCTTCCCAGGGTGAGTGCACATACTTATGCAGGAGCTTTGATTTCCTGGAAGACTTTCCAATCTCGCAGGGGATGGACATTGGAGGAGAGAAAGATAGGAAGTGAAGTGGGAGGGAATGACTAATCAACATTGGAAATAAACACATCCTCACTTGCCTACAGCTTATTCCAGGTAGAGCCAAGAACAAATGTGACAGGAGCAGGGAAGAAAGCCAAACCAATTCTGTTTTTTGAAACCAATCTTTTTGAGTTCATCTTTCTTGGAAATTTGATCGGAAGAGGAGGTTCATTCTTATTTTTTTCTTCTGATTATAATACTGCTCTTTCTGTCCTACGCCCCCCAACCCAAGTAGCCAGCTCCGTGGAGTGTGTCATTTGGAGAGTTAACTGGAGTGAGACTCCTGCTGTCTTATGGCTTCCAGATATTAGATGAAGTTGGAAAGGTTGAGTCCACCCTCTGAACACCCAGCTGTCTGCTTGACATGCACCACCACCAGCAACAATCGTTGGCACTCTCGCCAACCTCCTAGTGCTGAAGGGTGAAATGCAGTGTCTGCAGGGTGTTGGCAGTGCTTTTGTCAGTAAACATGTATGGGCAAAAGCCAAGCTCCTACAATGAGTGCACCGAACTTGCTCTGACTCATAGCAAAAACTAGGAACTTAGTGTTTTTGCTCTCACTAGCTCTCTCCCTCTCTGTCTACACCACCATGTTTCATTGATTACTTTGTCAAAGAATATTTCTATATTCATACACGTGTAGTATATGAATTTTCACTATATAATTCTATTCCTTCTTTTCCCAATAGTAATTTCCTACATCTTTATAATGTTTCAAAGTCAAAGTGTTTTTTCAATAAGTAGGAGAGAATGCTGATCTAGGAGTCAGAAGACCGAGAATCTAGTCCCAGCTTTGCCACAAACTTGTTATGTGAATTTGAGCCATTTTTCTTAGCCCTGTGGGCTCAATTTCCTCATCTGTAGCATAGGGATATTACCTGCCTCAACAACCTCACAGAGATACTGTAAGATCCAAACAAGCACTGCATATAAACAACAATAAGCTATTAATACACAAGACACTATTAGCGTCCTAGAATGTATTTTTTCTTTCACCTGTTTTTGCAAATACTGCATTTGAAAGTTCTCTACTACTTTCTCTTTTATTGGATATATTTTACTGTTTCTACTTATTTTCACATCAAAACTAACCTTCAGGTAATCTGTGACAACCCATCTGATAGTTTTTTTCATCCTGGCTTTCTCTGACATCACCCTAACTCTATCCACAGTCTTAGTTCCAGGAATTGAGCAAGAGGCGGTCCAAATACATTTACCAATAAGCAAATTGCAGAAACTGCTTTAAGGATTGCCACCAGCCTTGGCTATGCTAGGATCAAAACTCAGAACTCTAGTATTAGTAACACTTGCTTATGTTTGTAAAGCAGTTTACAATTTACAGAACATTTTCAAATCCACTTTCTCATTAGAGTAGGTAAGAGAGCAAAAATACCCACTTTACAGATAAGCAGACTAAGATTTGGAGAGGCTAAATAACCTGCCAAAAGCCACACAGCTAGAAATTGACGGGACCATGATGCAGACCCATCCATCTCTTGCTCCAAATGCAGTGGGTTCTCAAATACGCCATTTGTCCCCACCCTTTTCAACCAAAGCAAGCAATATCCCTTCGTCCTACCCTTCTCCTGACATCAAATAGTCCTTCTCTTTTCTCTCCATCACAACTGGTTTCTACTTATTAATGTTCCAAGGAGTCAGGCAATGGGCAGCTTATGAGTATGCCCTAGGCTTGCCCTGTGTGTCTACCACTACATTGGCTCAGGTCCAGATCCACTTTGCACCAACAAAGAATGAAGGCTGATAGACAAATGTCCAGGCAGTAATTGTCTGGTGATAGTGGGCTGGGTGATTAAACAAAGAGCATTTGGGCTCCCTCTCTGTCCCCAGGACCCAGATCCAGATCACACCATGGAAGTGGAGATTGCAGTAGTTACTAGGCCAGTCATGGGATGGGCAGGGATTGCATGACTTACTCCTTGGGCCAGCCAGCTCTGACCAATAATCTCACCGGGTAGCATTTGTAGGACCTGGGACTGAGGATGATTACTCATGCCTTAGCTGGCCTCATTCAGACAGAAGAGGAGAGCTGACAATGGCAGGCAGACTGGTCAGTTTTCCCTGGATTTGGGGTAAAAGAAGGAAGGGTCCCACAATGCCCCACATGCTATGGGATCTGAAGGATACACCTCCAGGACAGTACAGGTGTCTCCACATCAAAGAAACCAAGATCTGGAGGGCCAGGGGTCCTCTGATGACCTTTCTCAGTTTCCTGCTGCCATCAGATCTGACTCCCTGTGTCTAGCTAGATTTTGAGATCTTCTGGAATAGGACCTTATCCTTGACTTTCCAAATGTTCCTTGCCTCTGCCCTACATATTTTGAGATCTTCTGGAATAGGACCTTAACCTTGACTTTCCAAATGTTCCTTGCCTCTGCCCTACATCCTCTGCAAGGGATCTCATGCCTCAAGCCTTCCCACTTCTAGGCTGTTGTAAACACTGTTCCTCTTGGAAAACCTCTCCTCTACTTTGCGGATCACCATTTGTTGAAAGCCAGTTAAAAAGTCCCCCTCTTCCATGAAACCTCCTTTAACTCCTCAGATACACGATGATCTCACCCTTCTGTAAATTTCTTTTAAAATTTATTCTTTATCCTTTAACTGTTTCAGAAGTGTCACCTCACTCCCCACCCACCTCTCCCACTTTAGGTGGTGAGCTCCAGCGTGCAGGGACCATGTCTTACTTCTTTTATAAGCTTTTGCTGCCAGTGAATTATGGGCATCTAGGATTTTAGTGAAACTTCACTCTCAATAGTTCCTGGCACCAAGCAAATAGAAATGTAGTCAACCATGGCGGCAGCCCTCAAAAATATTGTAACCTTATTTGGAAAAAAGGACATAAGTGTATTTACCCAGCATGAGACTGGGAGACAGCCTTGGGCTCAATAATGGAAGGTTTCAAGAGCAGGCGAAGGAGTTTGAGGCATAGGTTGTAGACAATGAGTTCTTTGAGGTCTTTAGAGCCAGAGAGGGGAGACATACAAGACAGAAGATTAATTTGGCTGCAGTCTTGCTTTATTCCCTCAGGCCACAGGGGCCTTCTCTTTGTTCTTAGAACCCATCAGGTTTGTTCCTGTTCAGGGCCTTTGCACTTATTATTCCCTTTATCTGGGATGCTTTTTTATCAGTCTTCACAAGGCTGGCTTTTTTTTTCCTCCGCCATCTTTCAGAGGTAGGTTCAAAAGTCTTCTCCTCAGACACACTTTTCCTGACTCTACACCTGGTGTCTCCCACCCTCAGTCACTCTCAATGTTTTAGTGTTTGTTTGTTTTTGTTCAGAGTATTTCTCATGCTCTAAAAATGCCTTTCTTGTTTGTGTGTCTAACTGCTAACTCTCTCCATCCCATGGATGTAAGTTCCATGAGGGCAAAGAATTTTTTTTCTTATTCATCATATCCCCAATGCTTAGAATAGTATCTGTCACATCAGTCGTTCTACAAAAATGCATTATTTGAATGAATGAATGAATGAATGAATGAATGAATGTTAAATAGTATCTGTCACATGCAGTCGTTCTACAAAAATGCATTGTTTGAATGAATGAATGAATGAATGAATGTTTAGGGAGGATTATGAGGGGAGTAGGTTGGCAGAGAGCAGAGCCAAGAAACATGGAAGGCCAAGAGGAGACTATGATAGTCCAGCCCTGAGTGAATAGGTGGGAGGGAGGGGTAAGTATTGGCTGGACCTGGAAATGAAATGAATGCTGGAGAAAGGGAGAGAGTGGCCAGGACAGAGGAGACTTGCTAGTTTAGATGCCTGGAAAACCAAGGAACCAATAACAGAAACAAAGAAGTCCAGGCAGGTAGAAGAGTAACCGTTCTGTTCTGCTATATCTTGATAGCAGTGTTTCTTAGAAACCTTGTATTATTATCTTTTAAATCACATCATTAAAACAATCACTTCAATGAAAACAAAGAGGTTAACCAATCAAAAATATTCATTCATTTATCTGTGTGTGTGTTTTTGTTGTTATTCCTTTAAGGGTTAATTCAAGAACTATAATATCCACTGTTTTTTTAGTGTTTATTCTGTTTTAAACATTGTTCAAACAATTACCTATATTATATAATTTAATCCTCAAGGCAACCCAATACATTAGGTTTTCATATTATTCCCATTTTATACATGAGAAAACTGAGGAAGAGTAAGGTCAAATAATTAATATAAGGCTAATAGGTGGTACCACAGGAATTTAAACCCAGGCAGAATAACTGCTAACATTATTTTCCTACAGAAATTTCATTTTTAAAATGTACTTTTATAACTGTAGGTATATTGTTATATCAAGATAAAAATTAGTTGTCCAAAACTAATCAAATCAAACCTGAAAATCTGATCAAATCCTGAACAACACATGAGACCAGACAATAATCAATGAAGTCCTCGACTAAATTGAAATTAGATAGTAAAGACACATGAAAATAAAAATGCTTTGAAGCAAAGATTACAAACATCAATAAAAGAACTTAATGTTCTGGCACAGCTAGTTAGTTGGCCAAGGCCGTTGGATGGCCCTGTGCAGGCAACAATGCTTTCCTCCAATGTCTGGGTGCAAGTTTTCACTCACGACTCCATTCTGAACAACAGCAGTCTCTATGATGCTGTGCAGGTTCCCCAATTAATCTTTCTTATTGTATTTAAATTGCATTATATAAACTCACACAGCCAGAGAAATGCCTGCAGTATTTCAGACAGGCAGAGTTTAGTATGAAAGTAGGATAAGGACTTGTAGGAGTTCAGTAGATCAACATAGATCTCTCCTCTTATATGTTCAAAATAACCCAATTCCCATGAATTTGTCCTTGAAGCCACTCCCCACTACAGTGTTACACCTTTCGACAAGTGGACCCCCACATGGTGAAATGGATTTCACCCAGACAGCAGGTCACCCCCCCCACACACACACACCGCTGTTAGTGGCTGAGAACACCCCTTGTGAAAAGATGTCTAGCTAGAATGAAACTTCAGGAAATGACCCTGTATGCTTTGTCCTGTTGATGTACTAAGAGAGGTGGTGGTAGCTTCTACTTGTAGAAAAGGTCAAAGATAAGGTCCCTGGAGCTTTCTTTGACAGCTATGAAGGGGACTTAAGGGGCAGATACCCAGCTTGATTTCTCCCTCCTGCTCCTTCTGTAGGTCCACTCAGGGTCCATCTCTGGATGGACAATATACTGTGGGGCTCTGTGACTCATGTGGAAGACCTTGGCCAAGAAGAAGTAGCCCTCTGCAGGATGACCCTCTAAGCACCTTCTATGGGTGCAGACCAAGGGCTATTTAAACTTCTAACTCCCTGACATCATCCTTCCCAAGGCTCCACCCCTCAGTGGCTTTAAAGCCTGGTTCCCTTTTAACCCCCTTTTCTCAGGAGTGGTCTCTTTCCAGGTCACTGTATCCCTGCTTGTCCTGCTTATGGCTCCAGAAAACAGGCTCTATTTGCTGTGCTGCCTCCCAGAACATTGTTCTGACTATGAGAGACAGGCTGAACTCCACCAGAGCCCCGAGGCCATGGAACAGGGAGAACATGTGTGCTTCAGGCTTTCTGAGTTAAGGGAGAGAGACGGGCTGTTCAGATTCAAGTACACGAGGCCTGATTTGACCCTCAAGGTAACTGTCTCTACACTGTAACAAGGTGTTTTGTAATTAGAGTCCAACTTTCGGCAGAGGAGCTTGCAAAGGTTGTCCTGAGGGAACCAGAAACCACCCTGGTCATTAGCATAGGTGATTATACTAAATAAAAAGACTAAGCATAACATCAGAAAGATTTGCACTGATCTCACTGATTTTATTTACCTTCACTAGAAATAGGTCTTCTATGCTGCTGCATGCAAATGTATGAAGAGGGGCAAACAGACTAATGCAACAACTAAGAATAAATAAGCATATGTTTTCTTTTGGGTTTTTTTTTTTAGTTAGTTTGTTTTTCAAAACAAATCCCTCAATCTTATTGTAAAATCAACTGGTGCTGGTGGGGCTGGATAGTTCATGTTTCAGTAGAGTAAGTCTTAAAAAGACAGAAACCTCCGTCAAGATTTCCAAGTTGACTCAAGAGTTACCTGCCTAGCATTTAATCTTGTCCCTCCACACCTACTACCTGTCTCTCTCTAGACCTTGAACAGATACAACATCTGGGAGCATAACCATTGCAGAGGGATCCAAAGCCTTCCCACTGCCCAACTCATGGGGCTCTGCTACCTCCTGCCTGCCCAAAGCTGCAAATCTAGAACCCTTCTCACTGTCAGTCAATGAGCTACACTTGATCTTAGCAAAAAGGCCGAGAAGCCATGGGGCCAACTTTTGAGCCCTTATATATCCACATCTATGGTGAATACAGATATCTCTCATTAATTATAATTGCGACTAACAATTCCAATGCCCCTTCCTTCGTTGTCCCCACAGTCCCCTTACTCACCTGTCGATGGCGATAGCCAGCAAAGCATTGGTGGAGACGTAGAGAGAGACAGTACGCAGGTAGTTGACTGAGGCGCACAGGATGTGGCCATGCTCCCAGGAGAGCTGGCGCACCACGTAGTAGTCCATCTCAAAGGGGCAGCAGACAATGGCCACCAGGAAATCAGAGATGGCCAGGTTGGCAATGAGTAGGTTGGTGAGGTTGCGAAGCTTTTTGTAGCGGGCCAGGGCAGCAATGAAGATGAAGTTGCCAATGCCACAGACCAGCATGATGCCCACCAGGGCCATGCCAATGACAATCTTGGCAGCAAAAAAAGTCAGAGAATTGGTTACATCCTCATCTTCATCCAAGGGCATATCATAGTCGCCATAGCTGAAGTTAAATGGGAAGGAAGCAGCCTGGGCTCCGTGGGGGTCAAGCATGGAAAGGAAGCCAGTGGAGATGTTGGTGGCATTCTCATCCATGACTCCCAGGGTGATCTCCATTTGGCCAGGTGATGCCTTGAGCAACACAGCTGGGAATTCCTCTGGGATGAGGCCTGGGAAGCCGGTGTCTTCTCTCTCTGCTGACACTCAGTTCTGTCTTAATGAGTCAGAGTGTCCCTGCCAGCATCTTTGGGGTTCAGCTCCATCCTAAGCCTTTAAAAGACATAAAAAATAGTTGGCTATATAGCTGAGTGAATCCGGCCAAATTTAAAACCATCCTGTAACCTAAGCAGATCCATTAGCCACCTGCTCAGAGTGAACATTGGGTGATGGAGTGGAAATAAAAAAATAAAACAGTGAGAGAAAAGAAATTTATCAACCACATACCCATTCATTCACGGAAGATTGGATTGCTGTAGAGACCATCAGCACTGCCTCTGTTTATTTCCCTTCCACTGAAGACTCTGAAATGTTACACTTTTTCTCAGGGACCAAAGTTAGAAGGCTGAAGAGAAGGAAAGTGACCTGCTCCAAACTCCATTTCCTGTCCTGACAGCCTGGACTTTGTCCTTGTGGAATTGTCCCATTCTGTTGCTTAAAAGAAGTGATTCTAAATACAATCAAAGAGGGAGGGCTTTGAGACAACCCTGTCTGCTCTCCAGGAGTTGGTCTCTCTCCTTCTGGCAAAACACTGCCCTAAAATCACAGAGCCTCCTAGCAGCCACCCTCCCCGCTCCTCACTGGGCTTGCTGTCCCAACATACAAGTCTGCAGTGACCCTACAAGCTACCCACAGTCTTTACCAAGGCTCGACCCCAGGCAGAGGCCATAGGGTAAAAGACAGCCTAAGCGCTGAATGGCTTAGGAAGGGGGCTCTGGAGCAAAATGCTTTCTGTGGCTGGTGTGTGTCCTGAGGCAAATAGCTTAAACACTCAGAGTTTCAGCGTCCTCTAGGCAGGAGATCAATAATGTCTGTAAAGCAAGGAGGTCCTTGGAGACGGAGGGTGTTACACCCCAGAACTGCAAGGAATGACTATCAAGTGCTCAGGCCTCCCAGTCAGCTGCAAAGAAGGGGAGGGAAATCCTAACCTGGATGACCCCATCACACCACATAACAGGGCTGAGTGAGAGGGGAGAGGGGAGAGGGGAGGGGCTGTCCTCTGCGCTGCTGGGGACAGAGAACAACAGGAAGTCCCCTGTCCCCTGCCCTCTCCCCTAGTCCCAGTCCTTCACAGGCTTGAAAACATCAGACCAGGTTGCTGGGGTGTAAAGGGAGGGCTGGGGCCTGGGGAGCCCTGGAAATGTCAGGAAAGCCAGAGTGAGGAGATATGGAAAACCTGAGGTTCCTGGAAAAGGGAGACCCCTAGGACCCCAGGAAAGCCTGCTGCCCAATTCCTCAAAGATGAGACATCTGAGCTTGTCTTTAGGGGGACCAGGGTTAAAGTTCCTCTGTATCCCCAATTAAGTTTAGCCCCATTCTTGCCTCTCTCCCCAGTTCCTCCCCCCCCTCCCCCCACGTTTCTCAGGGTTTTTATTTCCTTCCTCTGAGCCTTCAGTCCTGTCCCTCAGGCCTTGCCCTCTGCCCCTGTCAGGTGTGAGGAGCTGAAAGGTCCCAGGGACCAGGCTCGTAGCCCAGACAAGTATGGCTGCAATCCAGGTGGGATGCTCCATACCCCTTGCAGACCCTGTGTCTTGGAGGCGTGCCACCTCTGAGGGTAGGGTACCCAAAAGCATGTCAGCCAGAAGGCTCAAAGGCAGGTTTTTAAAACTTCTTGTGGGGCAGGGTGTTCGATTTTAGGATCTGGGGAGAAATTGCCCAGCGGTCTTTAATCCTTAATTCTCACCTCTCCCAGAAGAACCCTATTCCCATCAGTGTCCACTGGGGACCCTGCCAGACCCTTCCTCCGCCAAACCTGGAAGCCACTTTGCAGCCCCTGCTGATCAGCCCTCGCCTGCTCTCAGCTTTGTCCTCGGCGCTTCGGAGGCTACACCTAAGGGCAGGAGCGGGTACCCGGCTCCCCGGAAGAATTGAGCTCCACTGCCAGTCTCCCGAAAAGCCCCTTCCCCACGCAAAGCCTCGGCCCCGCCGCGGCCGGTGCGGCGCGGGGGTCCT